AGAAAGCAAAAACTTCCCATTCTGCCAAGTTTTATAGGTGAGACTTTTACAGTTAATCCAAGAACTCTGGTCCTGCTTCAACACAGAAAGAGAGACCCCCCGTTAATTCAATATTCTGTCTTCTGGCTGCACTGTCCTCAAGTGACTCCTCTGAGTTTAGAGAAAGCACAAAAGGTAACTCAATATCACCTAACTGAGCCAAAGGAAAGTGTGACTTTCAGCCTACAGGGGCAAACGGGAGAGATTTCAGCATCATCCATCAGGTGGGTTGTTGTCTATGAAATTAGCTGGTGCTTGTGCACCTAGGTCACACAACAGCAGCATTTGTCCTGAGGAATTATCACTGGATCTGCAGTCTCCACGAAAAGAAAACCAGAAAATCTTAAATGCATTAAATAATTGAGTAAATACCTGATTCAGGGCTCTTTTTCTCAACACACTTACGAGGAATAAATAGACAGCTGCTGTCTTTCATAGATAGAAAGCTTTAGTTTCCAGGAGTGTCAGCTCTGGTGGATTCCCTSGACCCCAAAAGCTTTTGCTTTCTGTGGTCTCCAGAGTTCATTTAGGGTTTAGCTCCTCAGGTTATCCATACCATAGTTCATGCCCTTACAATATRTCTTTGCCAGCATTTGTCAGGGAAATGCCTCTCTCCAATTACTCCAAAATAAAAACAGGGCCAGTAATGGTTGTTTTTYCCCCCTCTGKGACATCTTCTAGATCAAGAAGTCCYTCACCCTCACAGCTGAGTTTCCTTAGGCTGCACATGGGTTGGGTTTGAGAGCAAATGATGAACCAAAACATTACATTTTAGCTTAAACCCTTCAAAATTTTCAGGGGCATTGTGCCTTAGGGTGAATGAAACCTCTTTGGCTTGCAATCAGATCAAATTTCCTATAAATATGATGCCCAAATCAGGTTAGATCAATATTTTTATCTACTTTTCCACTTTGTAGTAACAAGGAGGAAACTCAGCAACAGAAAGAGAGAGATTTAGTGCTGCTTCTGCCTGTCTCTACGCCAGATTAGGCAGGTTGAAGATGGCACAGCTGCTGCAGAGCATGTCAAATTGATTTTGCCAGGTATGTGCCTGCATGGGACTGCTTTTTAATTTAGTAACTGGAGGGTTAATTGGTACTGGGAGAGTAAACAGGTTGGGAAGGCAGGAGTCCTGAAGAACTGCCACGTTCCAGTTGACTAATACTGAGGAGCAGGCAAAACATGTAGAACAACCAATCTGCTTTCCTGAGCACCTCTTTGCTAAATTAACACCAAACCAGAGCTGTGCAGAGGTCAGAGAGCTGCTGGCAACAGGATGGCAAGGCTGCTCCTCAGACCTGTGGGCTTCTGAAAGAATTTTCTGTAGAAAAACTGAAGTTGCATGTTTTGTACAAGAAGTCTCTGATAATTAGAGCCTGTCAGTTTATTTCATAACTTTAAAATTTTTATCTGAGAAGAAGAGATCTTTCTCCCAGACCATACTTCAGGCAAGTTGTTGCACCATATGACAGTCTGCAGAACGGTCATTGCATGTTTTGTCAGCAACTGAAGGAATTTAGATGGGTGAGAAGATAATGACAGGCTAGAAAATGGTTCCAGCTAGAAAATAGCTCTCACTCTTTCAAAAAATTAAAA